CTTGGCTGGGCATTGAGACTGACAGTTCCTCATTAACTGAGCACTGTCCATCCTGTGCACTGAATGAGGCAGGGGTCCTTTGGAAAAAATAGGACATAACCATGTAATTAAAGACTGTGTCAAAATGCACACACACAAGGAGGACTTAATTCTGGCATTTCCTAACTCTCGAGTACTTGATTTTGCCACCTTAATCATGTTCTTTTGCTGTCGTTTTAGTGTGTGCAATATGTAATAATGGTGCAGCCTCTTAGCACATAATGCAGCTTGATGTTGAGTTATCCACCCAGGAGCACAATGATTTCAGGGACTAAATGCTAAATGTTTTAGTTACCTTTAATATTTTGCGTGAATTTTTTTAAAAATCAGTGTTATAGAATAGGCGTTACTATCAATAGATAGTTACCTTTGGTATCATGGAGGAAAGCAGATTTTAGGGGAAAAAGCACATGTTCAAAGAACATTCTTAGATGAGATGGAGCCTACTTGAAATTAAACCAAAATGTCCGTCTTCTGTAGAGACGACTCTGATAAAAGACAGTTAGTGGGATGATTCTGCTAATATTGTGAAATTTAAGAGCCACCAGATGTGTATTAAAGGCTTACAATAGACAAAGGGTAAAATTTTCAATAGCGCATAGGTGACGAAGGAGTACTTTGTCTGTTTTCAAAGCAGTGTCCATGTGACTTAGGCACTTTTGAGAAGGGGATTTTGAAATCTACATAATTTATGTGTTTTTCAATAATTTAACTTGGGTGCCTGAAGTTATGCTCCTGAGTTCATATTAAGCATCCAATTAAATGGCCAATTTTCAAAATTTGTGAGCATCCAGCAACTCACACTGACGTAAGCAGGGAGCTGCTGTGTGCTCAGCAGTTTTGAAAATCAGGCCACTTAATTGAGTGCCTAAATACAGATTCAGTTGCCTAACAGACAGACAGTCTGTTTTGAACATCTTGGCCTGAGTGTCTCCAGCAGTGTTTTATATATAAGATTTAAGGGCTGCTTCTGTTCATTTGAAGTCGGTAAGACTCTTCCAATGACTTCAGTGAGCTTTGAATCAGGAGAATTTGAGGTAGAAAGTATGGGCTTGGGAACTTTTGCTTAACTGTAATCTGGCATGTACTTTCAATATGGGAAATAAAATGAGAAAAAAAAATGTTTCGAAACAGAATATGAAGAATAGGGAGAGACCATTTTTAGGTCTGCACTAAGATGCGAGAAGGATGTGGAAAAAGACAGATGAGCTAGAAGTGTTACTAATACTTGTTCTAATTTAGTGGTCATAATTGAAACCTGATGGGAAGATTCTCATAACTGGAATGTCCATTTAGATGGGTACAATATGCGGAGAGGAAGTGGATGAGTGATATTAGATATCTAGAGTTGTGATGATACCAAGGAGATCCACATTTCAACCATTAAGAAAGTAGTGGTTGAAATTATTGGGTAAAGATATAAGTAATGAAACAAATGAGAACACAGTGTCTGTTAAGGGGAAAAAATAAAAATTGGGCTGGGGGAGAGAGAGAGAGTGAGAGACAGAAAAGCGGGGGGAGGGACGGACACAAAAACAGAATGAGTTCCTGGCAGTCAAGGAGATGAGATGGGCTTTTAAAACAAATTGGTGATCGATGCAGTAATAAAGAGAAAGTAGGCCTGCAAATAAATGGGATAGAGGAAATTAATGATGATGCAAAATATCTGAAATACTGAGTTCTTTAGGCTTTGTTGTACTTTGATATTTTGAATGAAATAATGATAATATCTAGAACTGTGGCTATTCATAGTTAAGCACTGAACCCTGATTATTAGCTGATATTCAATAGAAACGACAACAAACAGGTCTGATATAAGATAAGGCCAACAAAAAACAGACATGGGGAGAAAAGAGAGGAACTGAATAAACGCCGAAGTTCATGAGAACATGGGAAAAAAGAGAGACAAAAAGAAGTAGTTGTGATGTAAAGCAAGCATAAACTATCTCCAAAGCTGGAAAGAGGAAAGTACATGTTTCTCCAGGGTTTTCAGTTGCAAACCAGAAGGCTATTGAGTCTTTTTGCATGAGGATTTTCTGACATTTGGAAAGGGGATGTCTAGCAACGTTTTCTTAATGTTACATAAGCACTTCAGATGGGCAAATCCGCTTGTAATGACAGATTTTTCAAAGTCATCTAATTTTCATTCTTCTTTCTGTTTCTGACCTCTGATAAGCAGTGAGATCATCACTAATGCCCACCACTCTTTTTTGTTTGTTTGTATAGTCAGTGATGAGCTGCCAAAATCTTAACAACTGGTTCCCTCCTCATCCCACGAGGGGGTTGTGGCCCACCTCCTTCCCCCGGGGACTCCTGCCCCATCCAACCCCCTGTGTTCCTTGATGCCCCCCCCCAGACCTCTGCCCCATCCACCCCTGTCCCCTGACTGCCCCCAGAACTGGGCAGGAGGGTCTCGTGGGCCACTGTAGTGGGTGCCCACCCTGCCCCTAAGAGCCAGAGGGACCTGCCGGGAGGCGAGGTGGGGAGTCCCGGCGGTGCTTACCTGGGGCAGCTCCCAGGAAGCATCCGGCAGGTGCCTCTGGCTCCCAGGGGCGGGGGAGCGTAGCTGGGTGGGAGCAGGGGTAGCGGCCTCTCCCCCCACAGATCACATCAAAAGTGGCACCTTAGGCGCCGACTCCGTGGGTGCTCTGGGGCTGGAGCACCCACGGGGAAAATTTGATGGGTGCAGAGCACCCACCGGCAACTCCCCACCTGGCCCCAGCTCACCTCACCTCTGCTCCGCCTCCTCCCCTGAATGCATCGCCCCGCTCTGCTTCTCCACCCCCTGCCCTGGCTTCCTGCGAATCAGCTGTTTGTGTGGGAAGCTGGGAAGGGTTGAGAAGCAAGCGGCGGCTTCGCACTCAGGCCCAGGGAGGCGGAGGTGAGCTGGGGCAGGGAGCGGTTCCCCTGCGCGTCCACCCCGGGTTACCTGCTGTGGCGCGGGCGGCCCTCCTCTTGCTCCCCCGCCCATCCCAGCTCCCCTCTGCTCCACCTCTGCCTCCCTGGGCCTGAGCGCGAAGCCGCTGCTTGCTTCTCAGCCCCCTGGCTTCCCACACGAACAGCTGATTTGTGGGAAGCCGGGGGCGGGGGTTGGGGGGGCGGAGAAGCAGAGCAGGGTGGCGCGTTCAGGGGAGGAGGCGGAGGTGGAGTGGAGGTGAGCTGGGGCGGGGCAGAGAGCTGCCAGTGGGTGCTCTGCACCCATCAGATTTTCCCCCGTGGGTGCTCCAGCCCTGGAGCACCCACGGAGTTGGCGCCTAAGGCACCACTTTTGTCCAGTTGTTAAATTTAGAAGCCCTTTTAGAACCAGTTGTCCCGGTTCTAGCAAACTGGTGTGAACCGGCTCCAGCTCACCACTGTGCAGAGTGCCTCGCATAATGGGGTCCTGGTCCATGATTAGGGGCCTCCTTGTTATGACTGCAGTACAAATAGGTAGTCAGAGTGATGATGAAATAACCCTCCTTCAAGATGTCTCATGTCTACATTTTTTGTAAAGTTTTCAGATTTCTAAAAGAAACTTCCTATGTGAAAACTCACAGAGGAACAAATTAAATCTTTGAGGCTTATTGGGAATGTTTGCACTTCAAAACAAAAGGCTTTAAAAAAATGGAATAAAGTAAGGGCAGATTCATGTGCAACACAATGTTTGTTCTAAGCATGTGTACTTATTTTTAATACCAGAATTGTTTTAATGGTGCGATAACTAAATTATATCTCTCTTCTGAGAGCAACCCAGGGCCTGGTTCTCACTCATGCTCACAAACTCACAAACTTTAGGTCCTCTTTACACTCCAAAGTGGTGCAAAGTGGCCTTGGTGTAAATAATTAGGTCCCCAGTATGTATTTAGTCCTTGAGCTTTGTCCATCATCTTATTTGCATCATATAAAGGTTTGCAGAGGAATTTACTCAGGATATAGTATATGAAAAGCTAAATGTTTTCATTGCTTTACAAGAAGAGGCCTATCATTTTTCTTACTTCTCAGCAGGGAGGTGGATTTCCCTCCTTTCATACAGCCCAGGCTAAACATTTCTGACACCCAGAGTACAACATCAATTGGAAATTCACATTTCATGTAATAACAGACCATTTTAATTTCATGAGCTACAGAATTGGCTTCCACTTGGAAATTGCACTGAAGAAGGCAATATTGTCACTGCATAAAGAGAGAAATCTATTGAAGTAAATAAGAGGCTTTCATTACCTTTTACGTTGCATTTCCATATAGCATAAGCATTAATTAAACCCTTCATCGTGTTCTTGCTTCAAGTGGAGCATTTGCTGTGTCTGACAAGAAATGTCATCCAAGAAAATGTGTGGAACCCAAACATTGCTCTTAAAATACACTTGCTTGAGCAGAAGGGAGAAAGTGGAAAGAAAGTGTTGCTGCACTAAGGCAGTCCAACAGGCAGAAAGACACGTCAGGGAAACATCCTCTTTCTTCCCTTTTCTGCCCAGGCCAACCCTTTGTGTCTAACAGAGTATGGCAAAGCTGCCAAAATTTGTAATTCTCATATCTGAGGTTTGGTAGAGAAAAAGCTCTGAAAGCTTTATTACTGGCCTTGTCGCCAGGTATTTCTCAGGACAAATCAAAATGCAAGCAACTGTCCTCGAGATTTACATAAAGGGATTCTTCAATTAAGAATCAGTTTAACCTTGAGAGAGTCTCATTTGAATTGCAAAGCTTATCAAAATGGCATTGCAAAGACAAAAGTCCCTATTTGGTAAGGAATCCAAGAATGAGGCTAAATTGTAGGTCAGATGCAAAGTGTTCCCACATTAGGACTGGATTGTCAGGGAAATGATCTTGCAGAGAGATGATTGTTTCTATATTTGATCAGTATATTTGTTCATGCACCCTCAATAAAAAGGTGTGCATTTCAGGAGCACTGTGTACATTAAGGTAATCAGAACCTGTTGCTCATTTTTGGTGAGTCCACAATATGCTTTCTCTTACTATTGCAGGGGAACATTTGAGAATCTGTCCTCAGGAGTATACATGCTGCACCACAGAAATGGAGGACAAGTTGAGCCAACAGAGCAAACTGGAGTTTGAAAACTTGGTGGAGGAAACAAGTCACTTTGTGCGTACCACCTTTGTGTCCAGGCACAAGAAGTTTGATGGTAGGTTGGGGTATAATTTGCTTACTCTTTGGAGATTGAGAAAATGAGCCTTCAAGCCTTCAAGTTGACTTCCGGAATTGTACACGAGTCCATTATCCAGAATATATTCTGATTTTTTTTCCTTTACAATTTGATACCACTGTTGCAGTTATCATCTTAGCTAAGATAAGGGTTAACTTTATAGCTTATGCCCTTTATCAGCTCTGTGACTATTGCCTTTAATTACAGTAACATAAAGAATCAGGCAGTTGAGTGTCTGCAAACTTGGCTATTTTTTTTAAGAGAGGGAGAGATCGCCATAAGATACATAATTTTTCCTCTCCTAATTTCAAATGCAATTTTTAGGCTTGCAATTACATTCACTGTTGCAAGATGAACTATGGACTTTTACCCTAACCATGATTTTTGTTAGGGTAAAGCTGTTTTTTGTAGTCTATAGGCTGGCTTACTCTTTCTTCTGAGTTCCAACACTTTCCCTGTGAAGTACAGTGTCCCTCTGAGCACCCACGGCTTGCACACACATGGGAGGAATTTCACTACAAACCACTGAGGAAGTATTGAAATCTACTTCTACAAAAATTGACAGACAGATTTTTGGTTATTTTTCTTTCCATTCAGTACTATGATCTCTCCTTTCTCCAGTTTAGGAAGATCTGGGAAAGGGATCAGAGACTTGCTCTGACAATTCACCCACAGTAGTTTTCTTTAGCAATGAATGTAAAATGTTTTTTTTCCTCCCCTGTCCTTATTCTCCCGTGGGCACTATTTATTAAATAAATCTTTCTCATTATAAATCACAAAGTAGTAAGTGCCAAAATAACAAGTTTAATATGTTCAGTCACAACTGTGTCCGTATACGCATTCATCTGAGGTCTAGATACATTTTGACTGTTTCCTTCTATGTATTTCATAATATTCATAAGTGGGCAAGACACCTCTCTTTAAGAAATGTGTGTGGCACATGCACAGAGGAGCATAACCCGCATGGCAAAGGAGAAGCAGAGTTTTCTCCGAATGTTTCTTTCCCCATGTAGAACTTCTACTGGAATGTAAGTTTTGAGGCGGGTTGGTCAATCCTGCTGAACATGGCATGGATCTGTGCGTATCTGTTGTTCTTGGGACAGGATGGAAGAAAATAGAAATGTGTTAGACTGGGATTGGAAGTTTTGCTGGGGACAATGAAGGCTAATTTGTGTAATTTCATGGGGTTAGCAGGTTGAATGCTGATGCTGTGTGGGGAATTGGAAGCCAGTATCAGCAATTCTATGTACAAAGAGTGAGGATGTGTGTTGTTGTTGTTATTATTATTTTATTTTATTAGATTTTAATTTTCAATTAGGAAGCCAGACGGGGGACAGGGGAAGGTTCCACATTGAAGTTGTACAGTGAAGTGCTGGGAGAGATTGTAGCTTTTAGGATAATACCGTTTTCCTTATTCCATTAAAATTTTGCTTCACTGTGAGAAGAATGTGACTTTTTGTGATAGTTTCCCACTGTCACATGACAAGGAAGACAAGCAACCTTGGTCAGGAAAAGCTAGTGATGATGGGGGGTGAAGAGGAGCATAGTGGAAAGTTTTGGGGAGGCATATATTTCCCACTTCCTTCCGCTGATGGGAGAAGGCGGTTGTGGATTCCCTATCCCCTTCTCCCAGCCCCTATGCTGCTATAATTTACAGTGTGGAAAATGATTCTTGGAGGGAATGCTGGGAATGTGCATTCAGGTACCAGAATGATGGTGCGGTATGAATTTATTATATAATCTTTTAATTGTGTAATCTGTTGCATGTGATTTGGAGCTGACTGTGTAGAGTGCACCTTCAGGATTCTGTTTGAGTTTGTGAAAATTTAAAAGCTTCATTTTTGTATTTTAAAAATAGTCTTGGAGCACGTGCAATATTCAACGATGATTTTTTAAATAGAAGTAACAATTTAAAACCCTCAACAGCAGCTGCAGGGATTTCTTCCATTTGTGCATGGAAACCAGTATAGTCAATAGAATTTGGTGAGTTATGTACGTTACTAAAAATGCTTGCAGATTGTCAATAGTTTGTCATAGGTTTCAGCTGATTCCTTTTCTGTACTCTTTATAATTTGATGCTTTTTTATATTACTACACTGAATAAATAAGTCTGTGGTGGATTCTCCATCACTTGAAATCTTTAAATCGAGACTGGATATCTTTCTTAAAGATGCTGTAGCTCAAACAGAAATTATGGACTTGATGCAGATATTACTAGATGAGGTTTTTTGGCCTGTTTTATGCAGGAGGTCAGACTAGATTGTAATGGTCTCTTCTGACCTTGGAATCTGTACATTTTATGATTTTTTTTAAGAGAGTGCTTGTCATTTGAAGTTCAAGTGTTGTCACTGAACAACTGAGCTTCATTTCATAGTCCTTTAATCAGATTCTGTAATTGTTCTTGAGGTATTCTTTTTATATGCAAGAAATGTTGAGTCCTCCTTGGCACTGCAGATATTCCCATGGAATAACATACCCATCAAGTAGCCTTCATCTTCACTAGAGGACTACCTGTAGTCTGTCTGGGCTTTGAAGCAGTTTAAAATGATAGGGCATTCTTTATGCTGAAAGAACAATTAGATTTTTAGACTAGTTGGACCGTAAGCTCTTTGAAGCTTGGACCATCTCTCTTGATCTGTGTTTGTACAGGGCCTAATGTGGTGGGGTCATGGTCCATGCTTGTAAGCACTACCACCTTAAACATAATAAAAATAAATAAAACAAATTGTGGGTGTTTAATGGAAGTTGCTGTCCCGTACTCGTGTGCATCAAGATACGCACGTATCGGCAATCAAAAATACATGTGTGTTTGTGCATATGTTGAAAATTTTGGGACCAGTAAAATAAAACACATACAAAAAGTCATTAAATATAATGGAAGAGGTTTTTAGAAAAAACTGATAAATAACTTGAGCAGTGAAGTCAAGGCTGATCTTAGCCTTGTTTTAGGAAAGGAGTGGAAGAACGTAAGGGTAATATTCAAAACCTTCACTTTGCATTATGTTCCAGCTCATTTTATCAGTCTCAAAAATACCACTTCAAACACTTTACGTGAATACTAGTTTTCAGTTATAGATGGAGGTGGTAGGCCCACCTATTATAAAGATTGCCTGACACTTCCCATTAGAGGACCTTGTTTTTAGTTTCTTATAATGTTGACAAACTTTAGCCAATTGGGCTGAAATTTTCCATGCTAGGTGTCCGGTTCAGGGTTAATTATTTTGGGGAAAATTATAGCCAAAATGGTTCAGCCCTTTTCAAGAATGAGCCTGGGGCAAATGCAGTGTTTTGCCCATTTAAAATATTCTAGTGACCTTCATTTTGAATAGTTTTAGTGCCCCCATGCTTTGGAGCAGGGACTTGAAACTTAGCAGGGAGCCTGCCTTTGTGTCCCTGTAAAAATTGTGGGGAGGGATAGCTCAGTGGTTTGAGCAGTGGCCTGCTAAACCCAGGGTTGTGAGTTCAATCCTTGAGGGGGCAAGTTAGGGATCTGAGGCAAAAATAAGTCCTGCTGTGAAGGCAGGGGATTGGACTCAATGACCAAGGTCCCTTCCAGCTCTACCACATGGACCCATGCGCCCATGCACAAAAAGTTCTCTAATAGACTATGGAACTCTTATCATGAGGTAAGAAAGGTCCATGGCCAGGTAGTGTGTGGCATGCTGGGGTATAAATCTATGGTGCACTAGCTTGCCACTCAGTAACTCTTTGTATAGATAAGTCCTGAGTCTCACTATTCCTCAGCTGTCAGCAAATACCTGTGAAACTCACTGGCAAAGTGTCATGCCCCCTCCCCCTTGTTGGTCACATACAGGATGACAACCTATTACTGCTATCACATACTCTTAGGGAAAGCAGCAGAGGTCTGTGTGCTGAATCTAAAGTTTCCAGCATTGCTGATGACCAATGTGAGGGACAATATGATACCACATGATGGACTTTCTGATTTTTCAGTTAAACTTTTCAAAAACCTAGGAAATTATACACACAAGTGGCCCACCCTAAATTAAAATAAACATTATTAAGGTGTCAAAGTCAAGTACTCAAAAATTAGGAAATCCCAGAATTAAGGATGCCTGGGCAACCTTAACTTAACCCACTTACCATTATTTTACCATCTTTAATCACATAATCATATACTATTTTTTTCCTCAGGACCTCTGATTCAGTTAGTGCACAGAATAGATGAACCTCACTTAATGAGCAACCTTAATACTGGCATTTACTAACTTTTGAGTGCTGGAAGTTGCAAACTTAATGTTCTTGTACTGTGTGTTTTTGTGTGTATAGTATAAAAATATCATATGATATGCATAAAATGGGTGCTAATCCTGCAATGTGTTTTGTGTGTTCGGATCTCTGAACTCTCGTATAGAACCACATTGTAATCTTATCCCAGCCCTCTGTCTCCAGTCTGGTGGGAAGCATTAAAGGCTGCCAAGCGAGATCCCAGTTACCCCAGATCCACCTGAGAGATCATTAATTTTTTTGGCCAGCTCTGTGAGCTAAGAGACTTCATGATAGCTAGAGATAGATATCTACTGCCCAAATCTCCATACCAATGCCTCTACTGGCCTGTTGTATTGCACTGTTTTATTTGCAAGTTTCACGTTTGTACAGATGATTCAGTGCTTCTTGACCCCAAAATCTTGTCCAAGGAAGAATAAGAATAGTGATCATTCTGGGCAAACTGTATTGCAAACAGATAGCAAAATATCTCTGTTAGAAATAGACTTGCTAAACATTTGAAAGGTGGGATGACAGAAAATTCAAAGAACACTTGGAGTCTCAGCAGCCATGATTTTACTCTTTTAGTTCAAGGTTTTCAACAGAACCGATCCATGTAGTGATCAGGTGCTTCACATCACTAGTAATCGACAAGCAATCAAGTTCTAATTCTCAGATCCCCACTGCATACCAAAGCAGTTTAAAATACATTATGCTCCCAGAGTAGTTGTAATATTATCATCTTAATATCA